AAGTAATTCAAACTCATCTGACTTCAGATTGGTCTTTACAGATTTACTAACTTAAAGACAACTTCACGTTCTGGGTGTGATTAGGCAGCATTAAAGACATTTTAGGCAGTTTTAAAAATCTGCTAAGTTTCATAACATTGGTGTTTAAGGTATTTGTGTGGCTTAGGATGGAGGACTCTTCATGTGTGGGAAATGAAGCCCAGGCTGGTCTCAAATTCACTGAAATCCTGCCTCAGCTGTCTGAGAGCTGGTATTGCAGGCAGTGTGCCACCATGCCTGGCTCTGGTTGCATTTGTAACTGAGACTGGTACACACTGAGCCTGCCGTTTGCCAGTGATGCACAGTTACAGTTTCCTGCCCAGGCAGCAGTTCTGTGGAGGTTTCTGCATGGTAAGGTGATTCTCATGTTGGCCCAGGTCCAGTTTGGGGGGAAGATGTTGCTTTGGGACCTGAATTCTCTGGGAGTTCTGAGAAAAGTTGATTCAGTTCATCATTTCACTTGTTGGGAGGACTGAAGATTGACTTCCAAGCTCCTCATGTGCTGGGCTGGAAACTAGAAGTCAGTAGTCAGCTGCTACTGTGCGTTGCTGTAGCTTTGTTAGTGTAAAGGAGAGCTAAGCGTATACAAGGGCCAGTGATGTGTTTCGCTACGTATGTAATTTGCACCAGATTAATTGTTCTCATGCAGAATTAGTGTTTCTGTTCTTGTCATTTAAGGACTTTTTCCCTCCTCTATGCTACTGTATTCAAAATATGGGGGGGTGGGATGGGAAATTTGCCAGGTGTGGTGCACACCTGTAATCCCAGCACTCAGGAGGCTGAGGCAGGGGAGGGTCATGAGTTTGAGGCCGTGTTGGACTACATAGTGAGTTAAAGGCTGGCCCGGACCACTTTGCTAGACTCTCTGAAAATAAAAGCAACAACATAGTGAAGGAACCAAGAAAATGGAAGAATAACAGTTCAGGCTGTCACAAAGTAAGAGACGAGATGGCTTACCTGTAGCAGAGACTCAGTTCTCAGGTTCTGCGGGCAGAACCGTGAGCTCAGCACCTGCACCACCAGTCTGGGGGCCCCTTGTAGGTACAGACTGCAGGCCTCCGTCCTCACAGTGGGACAGGCCTACGTGTTCAGCAGTTGCCACAAATCCCGTTCACGATGGCTTCCCCTCATCTGCAGTCACCTCCACAGGGCTCGCCCCACGTCCTCACCTTGTGCGTTAGAGATTCAACATGAGTTTGGGTGGGCAGAAGCTTCAGTCTGTAATACTCTGCACCTTGCCCTCTCCTAACTCATGTGTTCCTCTTGTGCAAAGTCATTAGCCGCCAAAGCCCCCATCTCACCTTGTCCAGCATTAATGCTCACGTCTAAAATTCGGAGTGCCCTCTGGCTAAGTCATCCTGAGGCCAGCAGGTCCCCAGCTATGAACCTGTGAAGTCCAACAAGTTATGTGCTCTAAAAATACAGGGACAGACCTCTGCCGGCTAGGAAAGCAGTAGCAAAGAAGAAAGGGCTGACAGGTTAAGTCCAAGGCCCGGCAGGCCACCTGCATTGGACCTGTCTCGAGAGTAGCCCACTTAGGCTCAGTGCCCTGCCTTCTGGACAGTCCGGTGGCTGTCGTGGCTTCCGAACATGCGTGGGCAGAAGTCTTGCCTTCTGGACCTGTTGTGGTAGCAGCGTCAGCCCCACACTGGCACTCTTCCCTTTGCTAGGACCCCTGCCCAGGTGTTGGCCCTGCCCTTTGGGATCAACACGTGAATTTCAGTTCGATGCTGATGCTCCTTGGCTTAAGATGGGCTTGCCCCTGGTAAGCCCACCGTAAAAGGAAAGCATCACAGGTGGAATAGTTGCATTTGATGCACCTGCCTGACTACCAAATGCTGTAACATAGCAACCTTGAGCTGTGGTGTTGCCTCCTCACCATGCCTGGTGCTCTAACTGCTCCATGTTGCCAAAGTATTGCACTGCATGTTGCAGGCCCAGGAAAAGGTCAGAATGGTGCATCTGCAGTAAGGTTTCCACTAAATGTGTAAGTTGAACCATTATACACTGTACGGGGAGTGTTCACGTACGAATTTGCTGGTGAACTAACAGCCCATAAGAATGAAGATCATGAAAGTCCATTCATGCTTGTTGACTTGATTTGTGCAGTGTGCTGGAGAAAGCAGTGAACAGAAGGCCCCATTGCTATCAAACTTCTAGGGGGATGTGAGGGACAAGATACAAACCAGTAAATACATGAAGTCAGTGACAGGGCTCTGGTGAAAGGGCTGGCTGGTCAGTCAGCAGTCAGGGCCCTCGTCTCCTCCTCCAAGAGTGGTGTCCTGAGCAAGGCCCAGGGAGGAACAAGAGTGTGAAGGCTGTGGCCAGATCAGAGGTGGCCCTGTGGCTGGGCACGTGGCGGAGGGCAGGGCGCTGCAACTTCTGTCACCATCACTGATTGCCCTCACAGTAGGGCGACAGCCGCAGGTGTGCAGACCAAATGGTCAGCTGGCTTCTAGTGAAACTGTTACAGGAAGTGGCCGGGGGCCAGGGCTGGCATGTTGGCTTCCTGCTGGCGTGGGCGTTGGGAAACATGTTGGTTGAGTTTCCTTCTAAGCACGATCAGAGTCACTGCAGGACTGAACAGGTGAGTGAAATGATGGTAGGGTTTATTGTATTTTTTATTATACTTACAACAAGTGTACTTAATGAGCTTCACTGACATTTTATGTCTGTCTTTATCATGTATTGATCATATCTGTCCTTTTACCCTTTCCTGTCCCTTTTCCCCTCGCCCGACCCCTTTCTCAGTCTCTTTTTTTTTTTTTTTGGTACCGGGGATCGAACCCTGGTCCTCAGCTTGCGAGGCAAGCGGTGGAACCACTGAGCTAAATCCCCCGGCCCCTTTCTCAGTCTCTTGATAGTCCTTTTACTTTCAGGTCACTTTTTTGTCCTTCAAATTTCCATGTGTGACAGAAAACATGTGATACTCATCTTTCTGTTTCGGGTTTATTTTGCTTAATATTGTGTCCATCCATTTTCCTGCAAATGAACGATTCATTTAAAAAAGGATTACAGGGGATTTTCTGGGGAACAGAAAATGCACTCTGCCCACGTGGAGGCAGGAAAAGCTATTTTGGGTTTCATACGGTGGGAGAGTAACGGGATTGGCGAGAAGGGACGATACAGAGTCCATGTGCTAGGGGTGATGTGTGTGTCTCCCTCTGGCCGGAGCAGCTGAGTGAAGGGTGAAGCATTTACTGTTGGAGAAGACAGCACAAGAATGAGCTTTGGTAGAGAAAGTTTTAGACGCCTATTAAACATCTGAGTGCCAGAAAGTGAGCGCTTGGATATATTGCAGTCTTCTCTGTCTCAGGGAGAGAGGAGACATGAAAAATAATTAGCTAGAAGAGCGCAGTCAGGAAAGGTAATGTAAATATTTCAGATAGCACTGGAAAAACCCAAGCTTGGTTGTCATAAATTTAAAATGAGAGTAGATGCTATTTTGTACTTTTTTCCCAGTCACCGTGAGCGACGTGGGTGTAGCATGGAGTAGGTGGAGAATTGGATTTCACTGGAGCTGGGATGTTCTTAGGCAGGTGGAAATGGAGAGAAAGAGGGTGTAGGAAAATTTGTGGTGTGTGGATCCCAGTTGGGGTGGAGAGAAGTGGGGTTGTAGTGAATCGGAAAAAGCAAGCGACTGTAGGGAGTGGTGGACTCACTGTTCCTAGAGGAGGAGAAGTGGAAGGGCAGGAGCTGGCAGGTGCTAGGAAGGGAGGCTTTGCTGTGACACATTCGTTGCTAGCACAAGGATCCAGCTTGTGACCCTGAGAAGAGGGAGGTGGCAACTGAGGATGTGATCTTTGCATGAAAGGAAGTTGAGTGACTGAGTGGCCAGAGTGTGGCTCAGCCCTTTCATGTGCATTTCAGAGTCACTAAGAACAAGGGTAGGAGTCAGCAGATCGCAGATGCCCCACTTGAAAGTGAGGGCAAACTCTGCAGCCAAGGAGGCCTTGGAGGAGGGCGCAGGGGCAGCCGCAGATGCTGAGCCAGTGAGCGTGCTCACTTCAGGCCAAGGCGCCCAGCCTCTGGGGACCTTCTTCCCATTCTTTTTTTTTTGGTACTGGAGATCACACATGGGACCTTACACTTGTGAGGCAGGTGATGGCACCACCAAGCTAAATCCCTGGCCCTACCATCATGTGTGTGTGTGTGTGTGTGTGTGTGTGTGTGTGCGTGCATATATATATATTATGTGTGTGTGCATATATATATTATATATATGTGCATATATATTTTTTATTATATATATATATAGAGAGAGAGAGAGAGACAAGATCTTGCTCTGTAGTTCAGGCTGTCCTTAAGGTCACTGTGTAGCCTCAGGCTGGCCTCAAACTCGTGGCAATCCTCCTGCCTCAGCCTCCGTAGTTCTGGGATTACAGACATGTATCACCGCACCTGGCTAATGTTTACATTTTAGCAAATCTTCACTAAATTGTTTTTAGGTATATAAAAATCTTCCTAAAATAATTTTTAAAGAAGCAATTGCCAAAAAAAAGTAAAAAGAATTTCAAAACAGAAAAAAATAGATTAAAAAAAGAAAAAAGCAATTGCCAGTCTCTGTGTAGATGTATAGAAAGTCCTTCATCTAGTATCAGAATATGCTGTTGTTAGGCCGGGGATTTAGCTCAATGGTTCCGCTGCCTGCTTCAAAAGGGAAAGGTCCCAAGTTCGATCCCCAGTAACATAAAACAAAAAAACAAACCAAAAATATGCTGTTGTCTCCAGTTTCAGTCTGTCTATCTGTCTCTCTCCCTTCCTCTCCCTCACCCCTTTCTTTCCTTCCTTCCTTCAGGCAGTCCCTCTCTTCCTCCTTCCCTCCCTCTCTCCTTCCCTTCTTTCCTTTCTTTCCTGGGCCTTCACACTGGGCTACATCCCCAGCCCTTTCTCATTTTAATTCATTAATGGATTGACTAATCCTGGCACTGGGGATTAAACCTAGGGCCTTTGCACCAAGCTGCATACACAGCCCTTTAATTTTTTTTTTTTTGAGACAAGGTTTGGCTAAGCCACTAAGTTTCCCAGGCTGAGTTCAGACTTGCGATTATTATCCTGTCTCAGCCTCCCACAGTGCTGAGATTACAGGCCTACACCACCACATTTGGCTCTTATTTTTGACAAATAATTATTGTTGATGTTAAATTTGATCGTTTGGTAAGCTATTCCCTCTCATATTTCCCTGTATCTTGTTTTTTTTATCAGTCTTGCAGTGGTTATAGCATCTGTTGATAATTACAGCTTGAATCCGTTCTTACTTGGTGAGTATAACATGCTAGTTTTCTATTTCTATCTTTCAGTAGTGCTATGTTGACATCTTCCCATCTTCCCTCTGCCCTTTGCCTCCAACTGCTGGGATGGAACCCAGGGCCTTGTGCACGCGAGGGGAGCATTCTGCCATGGAGCTGCACCCCCGCTCTCGGCCTTCTCTTCTCCACTCGTCCCTCTTTGTTTTCTGAACACTTCCTTTCTGGCACAAGTTGTTCCACTCTCACATTATACGTTCCCTGTTCATTTTGTTCTTTCCTTGACTGTGTTTCCAAGGAGTCTTAATTTCTTTTTAAGGAAGAAGAGTATTTGGAAACCAAGATCTAGGACCCGTGAAGACATTTCCATCATCTCAAAGTGTTCTCTTGTGTCACATTCCGGTCTGTCCCTCGCTGCAGCCCCAGGCTCTCACTCCTCTCCTGTCACCGTGGATTGAGCGAAACTCATGTCTAGACTTCTCTGTCACCTGAGTCATGTTGGGTGTACTCTTTTGTGTTAGGCTTCTTCTCTTCAGCATGTTTCGATATTCACCTGTATTGTATTTATCAGGAGTCCATCCCTTTTTATTTCTGCACATATGCTACTGTCTCGAAGTGCATTAAGTGGACATTTGGTTGTTCCCAGCTGTTACAAATAAAGTTGCCGTGAACATTTGTGTGGCTGAATGTTTTTGTTGCTTGAGGAGAAATGCCTAGCTATGAAATTCCTGGCTCATATGGTAAGTATAAGTATGTTTGGTTTTATAAGAAATGCCAAATTGGCCCAGGGATTTAGCTTAGTGGTTTCGCCACCTGCTGTGCAAGCGCAAGGACCTGAGTTCAATACCCGGTACCAAAAAAAAAAAAAAAGAAATGCCAAAGTTTTCCAAAGTGCTTGCACCATCTCTGCTATCAGTATGCAAGTGTTCCATTTGTCCCATCTCTTTCTCAACACTTAATATTGTTTGAATTTCTTTTTTTTTTTTTTTTTTTTTTTTTTTTTTTTTTTTTTGTACTGGGGATCAAACTCGGATCCCTGCACTTGCCTGGCAGGCGGTGGAACCACTGAGATAAATCCCCGGCCCTGAATTTCTATTTTAACCCTCCGAACCTATGTGTCCTATTACTGCATTCTGATGTTATTTTGTATTTCCCCAGTGACTAGTGATGGTGAACATCTTTTCATGTGCTTCTTGGCCATTAGAAGATTATATTCAAATCTTTTCCCCATTTTAAAATTAACTTTTAAAAAAATTGTAGGAGTTTACTATATATTCTGTATATAGTAAACTGTTGCTGTTTTTGTTCCAATACACATATTGTGGTTTTCCTTCTCATTTTCTTTACCGTATCTTGAACAGAAATGTTTGATTCATTTGAAGTCCAATTTACTAGCTTTTTCATAATGGTTTGTATTTTTTGGGTCTTGTTTAAAAAATTTTTGTCCACCTTAGTGTCATTAAATTTTGTTCTATGGGGCGGGTATTTAGCTCAGTGGCACCGCACCTGCCTTGTAAATGCAAGGTCCTGAGTTTGATCCCCAGTACCAAAAAAAAATTGTTCTATGTTGTCTTTCGAAGTTTTGGCTTTTACATTTAGGTATGGTATGAGGTGAGGAGTAGGGTTTGTTCTGTTTCTCCAGTTCCGTCAGCACTTGTCGAGAAGCCCGTCCTTTCCCCAAGGAACTGCTCTAACACCTTTGTAAAAAAAATCAGTTTAATGTGTAAAAGTGGGTCTTTGATTTGTCCTTTTTTGGGCACTGCTGAGGATTGAACGCCTTGCACGTGCTAGATGAGTGCTCTACCACTGAGCTACCTCCTCAGCCCTTTCTGCTGTATTTTGAGACAGGGTTTTGCTAAGTTGCCCAGGCTCAGCTCTTACTTTTGATCCTCCTGCCTCAGCCTCCCTAATAGCTGGGATTACAGGTATGCAACACCATCCCTGGCTTTTTGTGGCTCTTTCTGAATTGGCTATTGCATCCCATTGATCTGCATGCAATGCTTATTTTTAGTGCTTCACTGTGTTGTCTGTGGTAACTTTAAGCCTGAAATCCAATGGTGTAAGGTCTCCAACTCTTTGCCAGATTGTTTTTGATTTTTATTCCTTTTTTTTTTTTTTTTTGAGACAGGATCTTGCTATATAGCTCAGCCTCACCTTGAACTCACTATGTAGTCCAGGCTGGCCTCGAACTCACAGTGATCCTTCTGCTTCAGCTTCTCAAGTGCTAGAATTACAAATTTGCCACCACACTTGGTGCATCCTTTGAGTTTTAGTCTATGAATTTCTTTTGGGGTTCAATGTGTTTCTTGTATATAGCATACTGTTGGATTTTGCTTCTTGATCCATTCTTCCAATTTGTGTCTTTTGATTGGAGAATTGAGACCACACTGTTACTGCTAAAAGTTACTTATTCCTGTCATTACATTATGATGATGATGATGATGATGATGATGATGATGATGATGATGATGATGATGATTTGGTACTGGTGATCGAACTCAGGTCCTTGCGCTTGTGCAGCAGGCAGTGAAACCACTGAGCTAAATCCCCAGCTGTCATTACATTATTTTCCTATTGCTGATCCCTGCATCCCCTTCTACTTCACTGTTACCTTGCTGGGTGTATCTGTTCTATTAGATCTTTTGGCACTCTTAGCTTCATTGTAAACTTTTTGGGTATCGTTGAGAATTTTTTTGGAACACTGGTTTGGTTGTTGTGAATTTTTCTTTTTTTTTGTACCAGGGATCAAACTCGAGTCCTTGCACTTGCAAAGCAGGCACTGGAACCACTGAGCTAAATCCCCGGCCCTGTTATGAATTTTTTAAGGTGCTCTTTGTTATAGAAATACCTCATTTCTCTTTTCAATTCTGGAAGAAAGTTTTGCAGGATATATCATTCTGGGTTGGAAGTTATTTTCTTTTAGGGCTTAAAACACGTTACTTCAAGTACTTCTGATCTTTGAGGTTTGTATTGAGAAGTTTGCTGTAATTCTAGTGAGTTTACTGTTATGAGTGATTTGCTTCTTTTCTCTAACAACTTTTAAGATTCAGTCCTTGTGTTGGACTTGCAGGGTTTTGACTATGATTTGTCAAAATCAGAGAGGTTCTTTCCTGATTGTGACTATTTGGGGTTCTGTGTCCCTCCCTAATAAAGAATTTATTCTTTTCTCATTAACCAATTGACATGCCATATAAAATTTTCATATATAAATGGGTCCATCTCTGGTAGGTATCAGAGGCCTCAGGCTTTTCTATACTTTGCTCATGAGCCCAGAAGGAGAAGAAGGGGCTGTGGAACATACCCACACCCTGTCATTGTCCGAGGCAAGGCAGGCAGGGCGGGAGTTGTGACACTCACCAGTTGCGCCCAACAGATTTTTCATATCTGGGGAATTGTACCTAAGAGACTTTGTAAATTTCGAGTGGAGAGGATTAGAGAATGTGAAAGAGTAGGCTTATATCCATCCTAGTCAGATAAGAAAGGAGAGAAAAGCTGGGAATAAAACAACAACAGAGCAGATGGCTATGTAGAAATTTCTGGAATGTTCTAAGAATGCTATGGATCAAATAGGTTTTTTTGAACTTGCCTGGGAAGCTAGTGATTGTTATCTGGAACACATCTCTTGTCAGAATTCCAGAAGGGTTCATAGGAATTTCCTTTTCCCTCTAGTTTGTTCTCAGAGACAGGAACTCTACCCTCCTCAAGCTGAGGCACCACAGATAGAAGTAGGAACCCAAAACACATGCTAGGTGGGAGTGTTGATTTGTATCCCTGTGGAGAAAGGAAATTTTAGAGCAATGAGAGTAGGGTCTCTGGTGCTGGGTCAGAGCCATCCAGATCTTCAGGGAAAGAGAGGAAGCTTGGAAACAGTTCGGGCAGAGCCCAGGACTTGGTGGGAAAGTGGACCAGAGCTGTCCTGCCTCATGGGGATGGAGCTCAACTCCTTCCCTCACCTGTCCAGCCAGCGACTGCTGATAATATCCCAGGAGCCTGGACTGTCTTCAAAGCCTCTCTGGCTCAGTGTGACAGTGATGGAGCCTCTCATTTCCTTTTCATTCCAGGCACAAGTGAGACTGGATGCCCGGGCATACCTGAGTTCCTCAGCAGTGGGACAGGGCTAAGCTGGGCTGGCCCCTTGCAGGTTCTGTCTGTGCAATGAGAGGACAGTATTTCTCACTGCTTTAACCAGTTAGAACACAAGATGAAGATAGTATTTGGTTTATCTTGCACAGACTTGCTTCAGAAAAATGTTAAAAATGTACTAAATGTGGCTAAACTTTTCTCCACATCTATTGTCTACGTGCAGTCATTTCATGATAGAAATATATGAGGTATGATCAAAAACTACAGTTAAGGTTTATATTTAACATTTTTGTGTCAGTAAAAGATGCATTGCCATTAATCTCCCTCAAAACACTCCCACTTGCTTCAGATGCACTGATCCCATCATTCTTGCCACATTCTGAAGCAGTTCTGGAAGTCTTCTTTTATGAGCATCTTTAGTTGTGCTGTTGCGGCTATCTCAATATCCTGAATTGATTTCAAATATTTACCTTTTATGGTCATTCTGACTTTGGGGGAGAGCCAGAAATTGCACAGTGCCAGATCCAGTGAATAGGTGGATATTACACACTGTAATATTTTTATGAGCCCACTTTTCTGTTGGATGACACTTGGCAGCCACATTCACCATATTTGTGCTCACACCTTGTAAAGACAATCATGAAAGAGGACTTCCAGAACTGCTTCAGAAAGTGGCAAGAATGATGGGATGAGTGTGTTGGGATCTTAGTCATTTTCTCCTTGCTGAGACAATACCCAGCACCCACAACTTAAAGAAGGAGAGGTTTATTTGACTCATGGTTTTAGTTCATAGTTGGGAGGCTCCAAGCCAGGAAGGTGTGGTGGAAGGGTCTGATATAGGAAAGTTGCTCACCTCATAGTGGGTGAGAAGCAGAAAGAGGAGTGAAGAGCCAGGGAGGGAGAGATGCCCTTCCAGGTCATGACCCAGTGACCACTTCCATCTCCTCCTCCTAACAGCAAGTCAGCTGTGGCCCTTGTAATCCAATGACTTCCCACAAGCCCCACCTTTGACTGCATGGGCCCTTGAGGGGTCATCTAGATGTAAACCATAACAAGGGGAATTAATGGCACTGTCTTTCACTGGAATAATTTTTAAAATATATTTTTATACATGTACATACATGGGCACACATTGTGTAACAATATTTTCGTCAATGACAGGCAGTGATGGTCCCATAACATTGCATAATGGAGGTGAAAAACTCCTGTCACCCAGTGACGCTGAACCATCCAGTGTCATAGTGTGATGCATTACTAATGTGTACGTGGTGATGCCGATGTAAACAAAACTACTGCTCTGCTGGTCATATAAAAGTATAGGACATGCAGTTGTGGACAGCATGTAATATTTGATGGTGAGAATAAGTGACTATGTTACTGGTTTATATACATATTTACTACACTTTTTATCATGTTAGCATTAACCCCTACTTAGGAGAAACGGTGTGCCATGTTACGCTGCAGTCAGCCCCATCCATCTATGTTTACCATGTGTCCTGATTGCATTGGGGGATGCTAAGTAACTGCCCTATATCGTCTAGATTTGCACAAGTACATTCTGTGATGTTCTCACAAGAAGGGAATCGCCTAAT